CACACAAAAGGAATTCTTTAAACACTGTCTAAACTCTGCAGTAACCCAAACAACCCCAGACCAAGAGGCAATAAAATGTACCTTGCTGACAAAGCACAGAGGGAGCCTGCTGCCACGACATATTTGGCAGGTCCCCAACCAACATATTCGAATGCTACTGGAAGGGGGCTTTTTTCATCGAGGAGGTAGTATGGCATCATAAGTGTCAAAGCTGCAGAGACCCCAAAATAGGCCATAAAGCAAACAAGCAAAGAAGTCACTATTCCAATAGGAATAGCTTTTTGAGGATTCCGGACTTCTTCACCTAAGGAAACATAACAAAAGTTTTGCAGGTTTAATAAAACATGAGTAGGTAGAGTATTAATTCTTCTCCTCCTCCATGGTAATTTCTACTCTGCTTTTGTCCCTTCTGTTTTCTTAGCTTGATCCAGCTATTCTACATGAAATTGTCTCTCTTCTTAAGGATACTTTGCTATTACATACAAATCCAATTCCAGAAAGAAAAAACATGATATACCAGTACTATTAAATGTTTAACAACAGAATCCATTTTGAAAATGATTCATTCACAGAAGCTAAATGACTGTCGTGACATTCTGTAGGCCCTTAAATATGAAGGCTTCAGATAAACTTCTACCTAATTCATCTATTTATATTAAACTCTAGTTTCAAAAGAAAGTAGTATATTTTGGAGCCTTCTAATAAGATTTGGCATTTGAATCACCTAAAACATGGCCAATTACAAGGCCATGCAAAAATATGAACCCAGAGCAGGCACTTAGAGAGTGACTCTGGAATGATTACTTTGTTGTGTAGGATAAAGAGAAATACATTTTGTCCTACTGAAAAAGAGACAATTTAAAGGCATGGTCATCATCTGTTACTCACTGTGACAGCACTTTCAGATAGAAGATTAAGGACACGAATTATGACTAACATTTATAAAGTATTTGATCGCCTGAAAAGTATTTTTCATACCTAATTCTCTCAAAGTATTTTTTCTTACGTATATATAGCGTAGGTAATCTTCATAACATTTGAGGGGTAGGTACTGCTCCTCCCAATTTTACCAATTAAAACCAAGGCTCAGAGAGTTTCAGTGAGTTTCTTTTTATCACATCCAGCAGGTGCCAGAACCAGCTCCACATCTCATTCTCTTTCCTTGACCCTCTGCTGCCACCCATGGGTACTCCTGTGGTACAAGGAGCACCTTTTACTTCTACCTAGAGCCAAGACTCTGCTCTTACCGGTTGTTGCAATACAGTCAAATCCCACAAAGGCATAAAAGCAGGTTGCAGCCCCAGCCAAAGTTCCCGCAAAGCCATATGGCATGAAGCCACCAGCCCCATAGATACTTGTTCCATTTTCAGAAGGCGGCTCTCTAAGGAGGAGAACAAATGTCAGAACGTCATTTTCACATGAAACCGCTTCTTCTGGTGATCTTTCTGAAACTACATCCTCAGTAGGCTGCTACTGACATACACAAAACTAAAAGTCAACGCTGAATCTCTGACCCTGTCCTAGAGATGGTGGTATTCTCAACAATGGCCCCCTCTCAGGTTACGGACACTGATCTTAGAGGCTTACTGACAGCCTAAGCAAGAGGTCCAGACCCACTCGGTTAGAGGCTTACTGACAGCCTAAGCAAGAGGTCCAGACCCACTCGGCTGGAACTCGCTCACAGCCAGGCGGGATTTTGAGAGCACAAACTCCATCTACGGGTCATGATCTGAACTAAAGTCAAGAAACTTCCCTTCTCCTGGACAACTGGGCTGACTGCACATTTAAACAATTTACTGTGAAGACATTTGAAAAGTTGAGATAAAATTCTCTAGGCTTGATTAAAAATACTGAAGTTGAATATTTTGTTACATGTTAAAAATTGTATAAAACCAGAGGATACTAATTTTTTGCCTCATCAGAATAACTACAAACAACTCANATCATAATGCACTGTTTAGTAATAAAATGGGCTTTAGATCATGTAGTGCAACTTTCACTTTATGGGGGTAGAAATCTAAGCCCTGAGAAAATAAATGACTGGACTCTCCAATGCTATGTCTAATAAAACGCCAAATTTACTAGAAAATATTTACAAAGTGAAGCTGTTTAGACAAATACGTTCTTACTCTGAAAAAAAAAATCCCATTTTATACATAACTAAACATTAGTATTCTCTAACCTACTCTCCCAACAATTTAGAGCCTGAGCAAAATGATCATTTTTGGTTTGAATTTCTACTACCAAGATAGTTTATCATTTTATCTATAAAGCTTGCTAGAGTCTTTCTCTTTTTATAGTATAAAAGGACCTTTAAGGCCATTTTCTTGATCTATAGAATATCTGAAAATGTGTGCATGGAATAAGAGTCTGTCCAAAGGCATTTTACATGGATATTATGGCATCCAAAAGGTAGCTTCTAGGGTTTTTGGCCATGACCTAAATACCAAAACTGTTGAAAGGAAAAATAAATTCCTAATGGGGTTTATGAGGACATAGGCATTGGTAATTCTTAGAGAACCAAGGCCCAGGAAATGGGAATATCTGATTCCCACAGCAGTGACTACAACAGCCTAGTATCAATTATCTTTGACATTTCTTATACTTAATTAAGAATGGGCAAACTTTAGCTTTTCAAAAATGCCACGGTCCTTTGGCAATATTCAACTTAAATCCTGAACAAAAAAAAAGTATTGAATCATTATTCTTAATCAATATGTCAAAAATTAAGTAATCATTCTTTAATTAAAATTTCATGTGTCAACATTACAATTATATGTGCTAGTTCATTGGTCTGAAAAGCATTTAATAGCTGTCATATGGTGAAGAACCATTACAACCGTTTGCACGTTTGTTAGAAGCCCAAATGGTTACATTAACAAAATAGCAAAAAAAA